GAGAATGGCGTGAACCCGGGAGGCGGAGCTTACAGTGAGCTGAGATCCGGCCACTGCACTCCAGCCTGGGCGACGGAGCGAGACTCCATCTCAAAAAAAAAAAAAAAAAGAAAAGAAAAAAAAGAAACCCCGTCTCACCAGGGGTCCTGGTAGAGAGCGGGGCCCAGGGAATTCTGCACGGGCTAGGCAATCCAGGAAAGCTTCCTAGAAGAGTAGGGAGTTTGGAATTGCGTGTTATTTGTTGACTTTGTCGTGTATGCTCTAACGGCCTGTGTTCTCCATCACAACCGGGCTGTTTATCTTCTTCCCTGCTGCACTCAGCACAGTGCCTGGCGGGCAGTGGGAACCGAATGACTCCCTCCTATTCGTTATGTCTGTTGGCTATTGTCTGTTTCTTTCACCGTAAGCAGGGATCTGGCCGGTTCGCGGCTACTTCCCAGGCTCCCAGACCAGTGACCAGCACCGCGCAGGCGCTCGGCAGAGACCGAGAGCGGAGGCCCCACACGGGGGCGCCCTGCGGCGAGGCGGGTCCCGGCCGCGCCGGGCGGAGTCGGGGAACTACAAGTCCCATAGTGCCTCGCGGCCGCCAGCGCACAGACGCAGCCGCCCTCGGCGTCCTCTGTAGCTGGCGACCTAGGTCGCGGGACCCGGACCGAGGTAGAGGCAAGGGCAGCGCGTCAGGGAGCGGGGTTCGCGCCTCCCGCCGCCATGCCGGACAGCTGGGACAAGGATGTGTACCCTGAGCCCCCGCGCCGCACGCCAGTGGTGTCGTCGCAGAGTTGGCTGCCCAATCCCGTCGTCTACATAACGAAGGCGTTCGACCTCATCGTGGACCGACCCGTGACCCTTGTGAGAGGTACGAGGCCCCAGCCCGGGGCTCCCTCGCCGGCCTCTGGGGACCCCTGGATCCCACACCCTGCCTGGATCCTCCAATGCCCCCGGGGTCCCGTCTCCCTGAGACCGCCCCCCGCTGCACCCCGGGGACAACCCCCCACCCCCGGAGACCCCCGAGCTCCGTCGCCTCCTTTGGCCTCCCACTGCACCCCGGACCTCACCTCCTAGGATCCCTTACTCTCCCCTGCACCCCGGGACGCCCCGCTCCTTCCCAGGACTCTTCCCTCCCTGCCGCACCCAGCACCCACTGCTCCAGGACCCCGCACTGCTCTCTGCCCCCGCCGCCCCGGGAACCCCTCCACCGCACCGCTGGCCTCAGCCTCTCTCAAATGTTAGGGGTGGTCTGCACAGGGAAGCATCTGAATCCTGGGGGTTGTTAGACCTGCCAGATGACCAAGTGTCAGGGTGATGGCCGAGATGCCCACATTCACCATCTCTGGAACGAACGGGGAGAATGCCCAGTTCAGTGTTTTTTTTTTCTTTCCCTGAGACAGTCTCGCTCTGTTGCCCAGGCTGGAATGCAGTGGTGCGATCTCGGCTCACTGCAACCTCTGCCCCATCCCGGGTTCAAGCGATTCTCCTGCCTCAGCCTCCTCAATAGCTAAGATTACAGGGGCACCACCACCAAGCCCAGCTAATTTTTGTATTTTTAGTAGACACGGGGTTTCACCATGTCAGCCAGGCTAGTCTCGAACTCCTGACCTCAGGTGATCCTCCCACCTTGGACCCCCAAAGTGCTGGGATTACAGGCCTGAGCCACCGCGCCCAGCCTGGTTTAGTTCTTTTTGAACACTTGGGGTGCATAGCATGCTCTGGTGGTTCTCTTGTTAAAGGATGAAGTCTGCAAATCAAACCCCCAAGGATCTGGAAACCGTGCAACAGCTGACCCAGCTCCCTCTCTTTTGTAGCAGTCCTAGAACATGTCTGTCCTATGTGTCTGGATGTTCGAGCTCTCTTTTTAGCTTGTTCATTTCCCAGTGAGGAAGCTGAGGCCGTAAGGTGGTAAGTTCTGCTTGCTGGAGGCTCCCTGTTGGAACCTCTGCGCACCCAGTCCTCCCCCAGGACTCCACAGGGGTCCCTGTGCAGCTGGGGGAGGTGCACCGGCAGAGCTTTGTCACAGTCAGTGCCGTCTGTGAGAAGCAGTTGCCTGTAGGCGTGTGTGGGGCACAGAGTAAGGTAATACATGTGGAACTCTGAGGATGATGCCTGGTACGCTGGAGCTCTCCATCAGCTGTAGCCTAGGCCTTCACAGGCCTGCCTGGCCGGCCACACCTCATAGAGAGACGAATTGCCGGTTTTCTTTTTTTTTTTTTTTGTTTTGAGATGGAGTCTCGCTCTGTCACCCAGGCTGGAGCACGGTGGCACGATCTCAGCTCACTGCTAGTTCCACCTCCAGGGTTCACGCCATTGTCTTGCCTCAGCCTTCTGAGTAGCTGGGACTACAGGCACCCGCCACCATGCCCGGCTAATTTTTTTGCTTTAGTAGAGATGGGGTTTCACCGTGTTAGCTAGGATGGTCTCGATCTCTTGACCTTATGATCCGCCCGCCTCGGCCTCCCCAAGTGCTGGGATTATAGGCGTGAGCCACCGCGCCCGGCCGAATTGCCTGTTTTCTAAACACTGGAACACTCAGGAAGTTCTCCTCCCTCCCCTCCAAGGGGCTTATGAGAACTAGAAAGCTAAAAGCTTGTCCAAACCAATGAGGTGTGAGTCTGTGGTTTTGTCTTTGCAGAATTTATAGAGCGGCAGCACACAAAGAACAAGTATTACTACTACCACCGGCAGTACTGCCGTGTGCCGGACATCACTGAGTGCAAGGAGAATGATATCTTGTGCATGTATGAAGCCGAAATGCAGTGGAGGAGGGACTAGTACGTGAGCCACGCTGGGAGTGTGGAGATCTGCAGCATGTGCAGCTGGGCCACCGGTCCCTGGGATTCCACAGGGTGGCATGCCCAGATCTTAGGGCTGACATGGGAGGAGCCAGACCCCAGGGCTCTTGATTTCAATTGTTCTCGAGGGGTACAGGGAAAGGATTCCTGGTGATTAGCCTCTCTTGCTCCCTTTCTCCCCCAGCAAAGTCGACCGAGAAATTGTCAACATTATACAGGCTCGACTCAAGGCCTGTCAGCAGAGGGAAGGACACAACTACAAGCAGAACTGCAGCAAGGAAGTGGAGCAGTTCACCCAGGTGGCCAAGGCCTACCAGGACCGCTGTGCGTGACCTCCCCCTCCCATCCTTCTGAGGCCTGGGGGCCAGAACCATTGCGATTCCTCCCTCCCCTCACTTCTGCCCACTTGACTTTGCCCCCTTTGCATGCAGCAGAGGCCTGGGTTCCCAGCTTGTTTCTATTGCTTTCTCAGATCAGGACCTGGGGGCCCACTATTCTGCCAGGAAGTGCCTGGCCAAACAGAAGGAGAGGATGCTGGAAGAGAGAAAAGCTGCAAGAGAGGCCGCCGCTGCCACCTCCTGAGGCATCTGTGGGCGCGCCTGCTGTGTGGCTCTGTATGACTGTTGCTGAAATAAAGTCCTGCAACCTGCCTGTGTTTCTGGTGTGATCTATTGGCCCCACGTCCGCAGATTCAAACCACCACTAACCATGCAGGACACAGGACATAGTAACAGGCTTAATTCACTTTATTTTTCTTGTATAAAAACCCTACGTTGTAGCCACAGCTGGAGCCTGGGTCCGCTGCACAGACACTCTGGTGTGGGTCTTGACAAGGTGGTCAGTGAATTCCTGATAGGGAGACTTGGTAAACACGGTCTCCTTCCAGAGGTCAGGGGTCAGGTAGCTGTAAGTCTTAGAGATGGCATCGAAGGTGGCCTTGGCTGCACAACAAAAGAACCCCAGGAGGGTCAGTGGTGTGCTTGAGGCAAGTCCCCCAACCCCAAAACTGTCGCACTCCTAGGAACAGAGAGGCCATTCTGGGCGGGTCTGTCGTGCATTAGGAGAGCTTTTCTCTGCCTCCCTGAAAACACGCCAAGCACACACCGGACCCGTGTGGTTAAGCGGAGCTGAGAGACCATGGCTACGCCCCATGCGTGGACCACCTACCGAAGTTGCCCAGGGTGGCAGTGCAGCCCCGGGCTGAAGTGTAGCAGTCATCAATACCAGCCATCATGAGCAGCTTCTTGGGCACAGGCGCTGAGACGATGCCAGTGCCCCTGGGTGCAGGGATGAGGCGCACCAGCACAGAACCGCAGCGGCCTGTCACCTGGTGAGGGAAGAAGTCAGGAGGCAAGGGCCCAAGGGAGCCCGCCCCACAGCAGGCCCATAACCTGCCACCAGCCTACCTTGCAAGGGACGGTGTGGGGCTTGCCGATCTTGTTCCCCCAGTAGCCTCTGCGCACTGGGACAATGGAGAGTTTGGCCAGGATGATGGCCCCACGGATGGCAGTGGCCACCTCCTTGGAGCACTTAACACCCAGGCCGACGTGGCCATTGTAGTCCCCGATAGCAACAAACGCCTGTGAAGAAATGTGTGAGAGGCGACTGGTGGCCCTACACCCAATCACTGCCCACTGCCCAGGGCCTGTTGCGCCCCTCAAGGAAAGAGAGACCACAGTAAGGCCCATCCGAGGTCCTGAGGAGATCTTTTCTCTCTCTCCCCATTACGAAAGTCACACGGGTGAAGCCAAGTGCAACTACGCAGAGCCGAGAGAGTCCTGACAAGCCCAGCCCAGCCCACTCCAGGACAACCAGGTACCTTGAACCTGGTGCGCTGGCCAGCACGGGTCTGCTTCTGCACCGGCATAATCTTCAAAACCTCGTCTTTGAGAGAAGCCCCCAAGAAAAAGTCAATGATCTCAGATTCCTGCAACAAACAAGATAATTGTGGGGAGTGCATTAAAGAAAAACTTAGTACCATTATGCTACTAAAGAACCAAAGTCATCGGTGGGGCGGTGGCTCACACCTGTAATCCCAGCACTTTGGGAAGCTGAGGTGGGCGGACCACAAGGTCAGGATTTCAAGACCAGCCTGGCCCACATGGTGAAACCCCATCTCTATTAAACATACAAAAAATTAGCCGGGTGTGGTGGCGGGCGCCTGTAA